CTTGGGTTTATATGTGGGCTCTCTAGTCTGTTCTGTTGCTCTGTAGGTCTGTTCTTGTGCCAGTACCAAATTGTCTTGATTACTGTGGCTTTGTAGTAGAGCTTGAAGTCAGGGAGCATAATTCCCCCACTTTATGCTTCCTTCTCAGGATTGTTTTGGCTATTCAGGGTCTTTTGTGGTTCCATATGAATGTTAGAGCTATTTGCTCTAGTTCATTGAAGAATGCTATTGGTATTTGGATAGGGATTGCATCAAATCTGTAGATTGCTTTAGGCAATCTGGTTCAGCCTTCTTTCATGTTGCTGTTTTAGGGTTAGTTTTGTTAATTAACTATATTTTCATACTATTTGTGGTTTTGGGAGGAGTTCTCTGTCCCACCTCTCACACCACCATCTTGAATCCTCTGTAATATCCTTATTTTTTCTAAGGTAAATGTTGAAGTGTTTGGGGCTGAAATATCATGTCTACAACTTACTTTAAAATGACTTAGAAAAAACTAGAGATAGATATAAAGGTGACAATTTATTAACAATTAGGGAACCTAGATGAAGGATATAGCAACGTATCTGTTATACTGTTTTTTAACTTTTGTATACACTTGAAAATTTCAAAAAATGTTGTAGGAAATCTTTATTATATAAAAGTAATACGTACATATGACAATAAAACACTGTGATAAGTTTCCAAAGGAATTTTACTTCAAGCAATTAAATCTTATTAGTAATAGTCATCTATTACATTATCTGCCTAGGATCTATTCCTGATAAAACAAGTTTGATACTGCTTTTTAATTTCTGATACATTGGAATTAAATTGTTTTGTGTCATGATTTATAGACCATAAGAATCCTTGAGCAAAATTTTTGCTGTGGTTTCATAACACCCTATAATGTATCTCAGTGTGTCAAATAAGAATTTTTCATATCTTAAGTGTTGTTATATTTTTCTAAGTGTGTATATGGAGTACACATCATTATAAACATTTGCAGCAAAATTTGTCAGGAATCTTCTTAAGGTATGTTTATGGTATCTCATAGTACCTTTCTTCCTTTTTTCATTCATTCAACAAATATTTACTGTGTACCTACTGAGTACCAGGTACTGTGCTAGGCTTCTGTGTCATCTGAACAATAATGAGTTCCAGATTTTTTTTTGTTGTTGTTTAACACTTACCATTACTTTGAGAGATCCTTGTATACAGTAGACTGTATAAAAAGAAAATTTCTAATAGTACCCAACTTTAGACATCAGAACTTCTATTACTGTGTTTTGTGTTTAATGTCTCTAATGCTGATTTTCAAAGCCATGTTTTGCTTTTGTCTTTTTTCTGAGGTACAGAAACCTTTCTTTGAGACATTTCTTCTTAAATCACAGCAACAACAGAGGCCTTAAGACATGAGCCCTCTAGCTTCCTACTCCCCCAAGTACCAACTTCTGTGCTCCTTCCCTACCTCACACTATGAAGTGTTGCTCTTCATTTTGCATTCGGTGTTTCCTTCTTCTCAAAAATCTCTCTTGCCTTAAATTTCATGACTCCATACACTTCTGGTTCTCACCATAAAAGGTCAATTCTTTTTTTGGTTTCCTTTTTGAGGTCAGCTTTCAACATTGTAATTTAACTGTCAGTATAAACTTGGGGCCCCATCCTTTGTCCATTTCT